GACGCCCGCTTGCGACCGCCCTGCCGTGCGACGCGGTGCCGTTTGGTCGAGGCCCTGCAGCGCAAATTGCGGAATGAGCAGCGCTCAAGGCTGATATCCTTCTCTTGTAAAAGCACTGCGTTTCGCCTTTGTCGTGCTCGCTTTTACACTTGTTTTTGCACGACTTAGCATTTGCTCCAAGATGGGACATTCTCCGAGTGCCACGTCATAGGAATCGATTGTTTTTTGCGACCTCTGACATACGAGGACCCATGAATCCCATCACTCTTGTTGTGATACTAGATCACTGCCAGTGCGAAAGCCCGAGCATTGCGAGCTACACGCCTTTCCAAACGCAGCACATACTGTGCTGGACGTCGTAACTCAACAAATGTTGCTAGGAATCGCAATCTTGTTCCGCTGGAAGGGGAGACCGTTGCTAAAAGTGTAGAAGATGACGCCTACGGCGTGCCAATGCAGCCATTTGCATGTTTAACGTTTCATGAGCGCTTTGTATTTGTGGTCGAGCATTGCACGCGTTGTTGGCTTGCAGCGATGGCGAATCGCAGTCTGCTTTACTCTCCGAAGCGTCTTCTATCACTGTGCCAACTTTGGGCGATCCCATTTCAAACGTGATGTTGTCGGCAAGCCGCGTCGACATCCTGGCGTGATGCCGCTAAGATGGCACTACGATCTTAGTCTGGAGAGCGTTGTGCCTCTCAGATGGCACAACGATCTCAGTTTGGCGCGCATCTTGGATCGCGTTTCGCGACCACTGTACGCCTCGTACGTCGATGCGACCTCGCTTTCCGTGCCCTCCACAGCATCATCTATCCATGTGCCAAGTCTTAGCTATTTCGCTTTCAAACGCAAAGTGGTCAACCGCGCGGCCTGGCGATGCTTCACCGGATATCCGGATATTGTGGCTAATAGCACGCAAGTTGTCGCGGTGCGTTTGCAATTTGATGGCCAACGTCGGTCAAAATACAAAATGGCTCCTACGTCGTACCGTGATCAAGTTTGCTTTGTATAGCACAGAACACCAAGCTGCACCGTCGTGCGCGGCCTACAGCGCTCGAAACTCGTATCCAAAGTGATGCCGAATTGCGGCATCATGAGGAGCTTTTGCATGGCATATGCCATCTTCAAGATTTTCGAAGAGGTCTCTTCATCGCCCGCCGAGCTGACGACGAGACCCTTTGGCAAGGCGTCTAGCAGTGACTAGGTTCATAGTATTTTAGAAGACGACCGAGTTGCGGCCATAGCCGTCGGCGCTCATCGGCGTTGCGGTCTCGAGGACCTTGATCGTGTCGTTGATGGCGCGCACCCACTTTTGAGCTTCGGCGGTGGACGGCGCAATGAAGCGCGAGACTTCTTCCGTGTTGGCGAGCAAGCCGGGGCTCACAACGTGCACGTCGAACGTGTTGCCGCGTGCGTAGTTGACAAAGACGTTGCGCGCCGAGGTTTTGGCCAAGTCGACGAAGCCCCGCACGTGCTTGAGGTCGCGCTGGCTCTTGTACCAGCAGAGACAGCCGCTGGCCTCGATGCTGCACCAGACGACCTTGCCCTTGCGGAAGAGCTTGAGCGAGAGCGGCTCGAGCTCGAGGTATCCCGTCTGCATCGGGATTGGCGCGTTGTACGTCTGCGTCATGCGCACGTGGTCCTCGCTCGAGAGCGGAATCGGCTCGTCGAAGATCTCGGCCTTGGACGAGTCGCGCTTGTCGGACGAGGCCGTGGATGACCGGATCGGCCGCGCCTTTGCCAGCGCTGCTTTGAGGTTTTGTGTCAGCTCCACGAGCTGGTCCTGGGCAAAGCTCAGGTTGTTCTTGAGGTCGTTGCGCCGCATCATGTAGAGCGACGACTTGGCCAAATCAGCTGGCGCTTTCGAGTTGATCTTGGCGAGGACGGCAGCGAGGTCGTCTTGGAGGGACGCAATGTACTGCTGCACGACGGCGATCTCGTGCTTGGCCTTCTCAACGTCGGGCGACGTGATCTGCGCCAAGTGGTCTTGCGCGGCAGCGAGGTGCTCCTTGACGACGCTGCGGCGGCGCAGGAGCTCGGGCTTCTGAGCCGTCGACGCTGTGGGCTGGGCGACCGCCGATACAATCTCGCGCTACAGTTGACATGAGATGAGTTTGCAAACGGCGTGAGTACCAGCTCCTGCTTGAGCCCCGCAATGTGCTTCTCGACAGCTGGCGCGTCCATCGTCTCGGGCGTCGCTTCGCTTGGCGCGCGTGACGTCGGCGCGTCGGTAGATACTGTCGTGACTGCGGATGTCCGCTGCAGGGCCTCCTGCGCTGTAAGGATTGCCTGCTTGAGCTCTTTTCGCCGGGCCATGTAGTGGCTGCTGCTCACGCTGTCCTTATCTTGGGTCGTCTTCATGAGCTTTTGCACCACGTCGCGCTACTATCACATGAGAGGGATCGCTCTTAGTGTAGAGTCGTACCAGCTCATGTTTGCGCCCAGAGATGTACATGGTAATCTCGGCCGGCGATGCATTCGGGTGCAGCGGCGCGGGCGCCGGCGGCATTTCGGGCACCAGCTGCTGCTCGAGGCGCGCGATCTTTCCCTTGAGGTCGGCGCGCTTCTGAAGTAGCGCACGGAACGTCTTTTCGTGCGTTGTCTCTTCGAGCCGCACACCGACAGCCTTGAGCTGCTGCTTGAGCTCCGCGAGCTCCGAGCGCAAGACAGAGCTGCCGCGCTTGGCGTCGGCTTCAGCGCGGGCAATGCGCGCGTTGAGCTCCGAGAGTTGTCGTCGGTACCGGTCCTTTGTCAACCCATCCAGATCTGGTGCCCGCGTGGCTTCCTTCACGACCAGCTACGTAACGTCAACATGAGTTGTGAATGAGCTAGCTAGAGGTCGCGAACGAGTTCATGCTCGAGCTGGTCGAGGGACAAGGACGCGTAGTCGGCTGGGTCGTGCAAGCGCATGTCGTTGCTGCTGTTACTGCTGCTGATGCTGATGCTGCTGTGGCTCGAGACGCCGCGTCCTTCGACCGAGTTGGACCGGCGCTTGCTCTCGGAGCTCATCGAGGAGCTGCCCGAGTGCAGTTCCGTGCCCCCAAACCGCCGCCGGGCATCGACGTGCAGCTCCGTGTGGTTGAGTCGGCGCGCGTCGACGTCAGGGCGAACGAGCAGCTCCGTCGCGTTGAAGCGTGCGCGGTCCATGTCACCCACGAGAAGTTCCGTCGAGTTCATGTGCGCTCGCTGCTGTAGGTAGTCGTGCGGCGCCGAGTCGTTGCTGCTACTTTCGGACCGGAGGCCATTGCTGCTGGCACTGCTGCTGTGCTGTCGATCTTGAAGCTTGGCGATGCGCTGCTTGATGTGCTTGCGGCGCTGCTGGAGCATAATGTTGTCCGGGTCCTTGGTCATCGCCACGACCACTTGCTTGAGCTGCGTCTTGAGCTCATCGAGCGAGAGCCCTTCGTCACGCTTGGCCCGTTCCTTCAGAATCTCTTGCTGCTTGGCCACGATTGCCTTCTTGAGTTCGTGCTTTTGAGCGAGGAGCTCGTCCATCGCACGGCCATTCGGCGGTGTCTCTGCAATGCGCTTGACGACGGCCCGCTACGAAGCCATTTCCGACCATGCTCATCAAAGAGCGGTGTGTACCAAGTCGTTCTTGAGGTCGTCGAGCGACGGCGTCGGCTTGGCAGCGTGGACGAGTCGGTCCGTCGCGGCGGTGAGCTCTGTCTGAAGCTCAGCGGCCTTGCGCTTGTAGTGGATCTCGCGGGCACGGTCGCCTTGGGACGCGGCCTGTGTGGCCTGCGCCATTGCAGCACGCTAGCACCCATAGTTAGCATTGCTCACAGTACGCAAGTGCACCAGTTGTTGCTGGAGGTTATCCACAAGCACTTGGTCTTGGGCTTGGGCGACCGCGGCCTTGAGGCGCGTCCGATCGCGGTGCAGCTTGGAGATGACGTGGGACTGGGACCTCGGCGTACTTGCGAGCTGCGCTGACACGATGCGGAGCTCCTTCTTGAGCTGCTCGAGTCTCCTCGCCGCTGACACGTCGTCGTCGTTCTCGCTCTCGTTGTCCGTGTCGACGTCGTTGTCGTGGAGCGACCGGATGGACTCGGTGATCCGGTCGACGTCCGCCGTCGTGGTCGTAGTCGTCGGTTGCTCGTCGTGCAGCGAGTTTAGCGAGAGCCGCTGCGAGTCTCGGACCACCGAAAGCGCTTCCGTAAGTTGCGCTGCAAAGCGGTGGTCGGGCGACGCAGGTGCTTGCACCATCGGCGGGGTCGCGACCGCGGCCGCTGGCGCCGTGTACGTTGGCAATGGCAAAAACGGTGCGGGCGGTGTCGGTGGCATCTTGGGCGTCGGCGGCGTCGGTGGCATCTTGAGTGTCGGTGGTGTCGGTGGCGAAGGGTCAAGAGCGAGAGGCGGAGGCACGACACGAGGCACCTGCGCGGGCATCGGCGGCGACTCGGACACTGGCGACAAGCTCTCGGCAAACTCGACGGGCGTGCCGGGGAGGTCGGGCGAATCGACGAACGCCGACGTGCGAAAGTCGTTGGCGTCGTACTCGTCGTCGTCGTCATCGAACGTAAGGCTTTTCCTGGCGAGAGCTTTGAGTGGCGACCCAAGGATATTGCTGCTGCGACGTCCGCCGAGCGCTTCCATGTGGACGACCTCCTGCATGCGCTCGCCCGTTGTCTGCAGCTCCTTCTTCAAGAAAGCTTTGCGGGCGAGGTACATGGCGCGGTCGTCGTTGACCGTCGTCTTGGCGATCGCGTCGACCGTCTCTCGCTACATCAATCGTCACCGAATGCGTCAGAGGGACGGTACGCACCAAAGCAGTGCGCAAATACGACGTCTTGCGCTCGAGGAGGTCGACCTCGGTCGAGCAAGAGAGCTGCGTGCCGCGGGCCGACCGCTTCGAGGCGAGTTCGTCGTGGACGACTTGGATCTCGGACTTGAGCAGATTGCGCCGGCGCAAGCCAGCTTTCGCCATCTTCTCGTTGCCGCGCTTCTCGGCCTTGGCGAGCGCCGCCACCGTCTTGTGCTACGACACGACTCAGATCGCGCGTCATCGCAATGATGACGTATACCATTTGGTGCCGGAGCCACTCGAGCTTCATCTCAAGGTCGCGGATCGAGCTCTCGTTGCTGGACGTGCCGAGGATCGCGTCCGAGGACGCGGCTGCGAGGGCAACAGCGCTCTCGCGACTGTTCATGGCGTCGAGGTGCCGCGAGAGCTGGTTGACCTCCTCTTGGGCGAGCTTGGCCTTGTCCTGCTCGACTTGGAGCGCTTCTTGGAGCTGGAAGTAGAGCATGTTGCAGTAGTCGACCTTCTGCAAAGGCGGGCCCGTGATGTTGTACTCGTCCAGAAGCTGGCTGCTCGACATGCGCTCGGGCGTCGCGACGTCGTCCTCGAGCTCTACGTACATGCGATCGAGCAGCGCCGTGCGCTCGGCGAACGTGTCTTGGAGCTGCTTGTTCTCGACGCCGAGCTGCGCGATCGTGTCCAGTAGCTCTACACGCGAGGAATGAGATGAGAGGCGCGGCGCAGCGTACGTTGTTGGCGCGCCGTGAGGCTCTGGCACTTGGTGATTTCCGCCGGCAGGATCGTATGGCGGCGCTCGAGCTCGAGCTGGTCGAGGTGGGTTTGGAGCATCTCCTTCTCGGGCACGAGGCGGTCGATCTCGCTTGCATAGTTGGCTGAGACCATCTGGAGGACCTTCATCTCTCTCTCGAGGACGCGGCCCTTGGCGATGGAAGTGGCTTCGTCGAAGAGGAGGCGGTTGGTGTCCATGGACCACACCTCCTTGTGCAACTGTGTGACCACGAGCGTCTTCATGTGCTCCGACTCGATCGCACGCAGCCGCAGCTTGTTCTCTTCTTCCGGGTCGAGCTCCGTCTCGTCTTCTTCGTCGTCGGCCGGGTCTCCTTTCTGAGCATACAAGCTATGTGAGCCAAGCGAAGAAGCGGAGGAGCGCGTACGAGGCCGCGGCTAATGTCGCAAAAGCCGATCGTGACGGGCCGCGGCGTCTGGCTGATCTTCTCGATAACTTCGTTGTACGAGTAGCCGGCAATGGACGTGCCTTGGATCTCGACCATGCGGAAGCCAGGGTAGATGCGCCTACGCGAACGATGAGATGGCATACGTAGCGTGTGGACGCGAGCACCGATCGGGCTTGACGCTCCAGTTGTACATCTCGGCAGGGCTTGGGAGGCCGCTCGCAAGCTTGACGAGCGCGTGGATCTCGACCTGGAACTGCTGCCATGGGATGTCGGGACCCTGCACGATCGAACGGAGGTTCATGCCGAGCTTGCCGGGGCCAAACTCGATGTAGATGAGCAGCTTCCACGCGTAGAGGTGGCCCGTGCGCACGAGCGGCGGGACCCACACCGCGCCGCCGGACGGCTGGATGTAGTAGAACTTGCCCGGGTGCGACGAGCTCTCCTTGTGCTGCCAGCCGTCGGGCAGCGGCGAGTGGTAGTCGCCGAGCGTCGCACCTTTCTCGGTCGAGGTCCCGCGAGGCAGCGCACGGTAGCGGCCGTCGATGGCCACGAACTCCATCTTGAGCAGGTCCGTCTCAGCCTTGGCGTCGTCGTCGGCGTCGTCGGCCATCGCGTCGTCTTTGGCACGCGATTCGAAATGGCCATCGCATGCATTTTCGCAGCCGACCTCATCCGACCAGTTTATTGCCGGCCAGATGATGACGCCGTTCGTCAAGGTGGGACATGTCCGTGGGCATGGCGTCCTCCTCGATCGACAACAGCATCGTCCATGCGTACGTCTCGGCAGGAGGCTTCGAGATCCAGTGTACGCGATCTGTCAAGGGCGACAGGAGGCTCGGCCATGATCTGGTTGTACGGTGTCCACCGTACATTGCAGCAATGTACGGGCATGAAACGGGTTCGTTGAAGTCAAGCCGCGTCGCTGCTGCAAGCGCAAAGAGCCCGAGCTGGAGCAGCAGCAACATGCACTCGCCCAAGCGATGCCACGTTGCATGCGACTTGGAACGAGGCCAAGATGGGCGTTCGAACACGTCAGCAGATGCGTTCCCGCCATCTCTGACCGCGTTCGCATTGGCAGCGCCACCATCTGGCTCGCCGCTTGGTTCTATGGCAGCAACATCGTTCTACCCTCCTCGTTCTGCCCGGTGTTGCTGCAAGCAGAAGCGTCAATAGCGTAGCACACGCGCGCAGAGGAATATGGACGGCTATTCCATCCTTGGACTTGGGCCGCGACCTCAAGGGACCTTTAAGCCAGCACTCGATAGCCAGCAAGCAAGCCATGCTCAGCGACAGCCTCGGCAATGGTACCATACACATGCCAAGACGCGTGCGAGGACCACCTCGGACTTGGCATTGGTCGCGCAGGACACAGGACCGACCTGTGTCTCGGTGTGGCGGCGTGTGGCATGTGGCGATGCCATTGGCTGGAATTGCGATCTTCTGGGTTTGGCGTTTGCAAAAATATTGCATAGAGGCCTTGTGCTATTTTAATGTGAAAAACGAATTCGGTCATTGCCATGAGCGGGTTCTTGGGGCGGCGATCGTCCGTGTCGGCCCCGATTGCGGACGAGAACGTCGCGCTCGAGGGCTGGCTCAAGAAGCGCGGCCACCACTTCTTCTCGACGGTCAAGACGCGCTACTTTGTGCTCCTCAAGGACGGAACGCTTGTCTACTTTGCCGACGACAAGCGCAAGAAGCAGAAAGGCGCTGTCCGCGTCGCGATCCAAGACGTCGTGACGCCAACGACCACCAAGGACAAGGCAAAAGCTGCGACTACCATCTCTCTTGCTCATGTTGTCTTGTGTAGCTCTTTGCGTTCCAGCTCAAGAAGGCTTCGAGCGACCACGACGCCAAGCCGTTCGTGCTCACGATGCTGGCCACCACGGACGCCGAGCGCACGTCCTGGGTACGCACTGCTCTCGTCGTACTGTACATGGTTCATGGCTAAGGTAGATTGAAGCGCTGCGCAAGGTCATGGCCGCGTCCGTCCCGCCCGTGCGGCTCACCATGATGCTGCGCAGCACGACGTTGCACGCGTCGACACGGACGCTGGACACGGGCGCGTCCGACGTCTTTGGTATGCTACTCGAGATCGGGAAGCTGCAGCAGCTCGTACACACGGCCAAGACCGAGTGGGGGGACGACCCGATGCAGTGGACGTCGGACCAGGTACATTGCTTTGTGCTCTGCTCTCTAAACACTTGCGTAGTACCTCGAGCTGTGCCACAGCATCGTCTTTACGCACGAGCAAGCGGCCGGGCTCAGTTTAAGCTTACTGGAAAACCAAGTGCTCCAGGAGGCCCTCGAGCTCCGCTACAAGTGCGTCGGAATACGAGGCCGCGGCGACCTCACGCGGATGTGCTGTAGGTACGAGGATGCCCACGCCGCACGCTTGCGGCTGTCGTCAGCCGAGGTCGACGTACTCCCGTTGTCAACGACACCGCCTAACGAGGTGTCAGCGGTGGTCGAGGTGCCAGCGGTGGTCGAGGTGCCAGCGGTGGTCGAGACGCCGCCGCCACTGCTGTCGTCTGGCACCCGCAAGTACTTTGAGACGTTGGACCCGGCGTTTGTGGCCTTGTCGCCGCGGTCCAAGACAATGGCCAAGTACGCAGCGCTGTACCAGCAGGTGCGTCTCGCGATCGTTCGTGGCGTCATGGCATGCGCAGGAAGCGCTGGCGGCCAAACGCTCGTGGAACGCGCATCGTGAGCTTGACGACGACCTGCTCCAAGTGCTCCACGCGCCGATTACAACCGAGAATCTCGTCCACGCGCTCGCCCGGCGCTTCGAGGTGCGTGCTTGTATGCGTGGAAATGTTGTTTTAGTAAAGGGCTAGGCCGACCGCGTCTACACAAGTCTGGGCGACTCGCTCTTGATGGTGAACCCTGCGCCGCGTCTCTTGCACCACACGGCCGGCAACTCGATCTACGACGAAGCCACCGTGCTGTGGTACGTTCGGTATCTTTGACAAGGCGACTATATTGCCTAGGTACCGCGACCACGACGTAGCGGTCTGCAGTCCACACCCGTTTGCGCTCGCCAAGCGGTGCGTTCCCTGAAGTATCAAGTTGATACAAAGACTTGCGTAGGACGCTGGCGAGCGTGCTGGACGTCAAGGAACCCGAGAGCATCGTGCTCATGGGCGAGTCAGGCAGCGGCAAAACTGACTTTGCCAAGCACGTACTCAAGTACATCGCGACGATCCAGCAAGCGCCCAAACCGCCGACGGTACACTTTCATATATTAGTGTGGACGAGAGACCATAGGGCTAGGTGCAACTTTTCACGAGTTCGACCAAAAGCACAATCAAAATGCGCAGTGACGAGGCGCACCTCATGGACCTCCTCGCGTCCAAGCAGTAAGATGCATCCCGGCGATAGTCCGATGTCGAAACCAGGGGTAGGGTTCAGTACGAGACGATTTACTTGGACATTACGCCCGAGCGCTGGCCCGAGATGCTCGCCGTGAGCCACGGCGTCAAACAGTACGGCCTTTCTTGACTCGAGTGATGCGCGACGCGTCATTGTGTAGACTGCCGCAAGTGCACATGGACCGCATGTTTTTTGGCGTATACGCAAAATATCAATGTTTCAAGCGCCTAACGAGAGTGACGCGTAGTCGTACGACGAGCTCCAGCGCCTCGAGGACGAAGAGCAGTTTGTATTTTACGTCAAGAACCCGCGCGTATCTATGTTCTTATTGCACTAGCTCATAGCAACGTAGGCCGCGCGCCTCTTGTCCGTCCTCCTCGATGGCAACGTGCTGCTCGAGGCGTTTGGGAATGCAACCACGGTACACCGTTTGTGTGACGGTAGACGCGTCACTCGGCACTAGATGCACAACCCCAACTCGTCGCGCTTTGGCAAGTCGACGGCCTTTCATGTACACACAACGACGGGCCACCTCTACGGTCCTCCTACTCTCCTACCCTCTTCTAGGAAGTTAACATGTCCTTAGGTGGCGCGATCACGCCCTTCTTCCTCGAAACGTCGCGCGTGACCAACTCGAGCGCCGACAGTACGCGATGTCTCATGGCCTTGAGTTGATCGCGGTCGCGTAGCCTTCAACTTTCATATCTTCTACGCACTCCTGCTCGGCGGCAGCGCGTCGCTTCTCGCCGAGCTTCGCCTCGACGCTGCATCGCCACTCGCCTTTGCGTACGATCGATCGCTTGGAGTGCTCTCGGAGTGGCTCGTGTAGGTACCTCGGGAACGACCGCTCGAGCACGAACGACTCGTACGTCGAGAAGTATGATGCTCGAGGATTGAAACGAAGGTTGTAGAAGCGTCACGTCGTTCGACCAAGACCGCCAGCGCTGGCACCAAGTGCTCCGGTGCTTGGACCTCGTCGGCGTCTCGGAGCTCGATCGTCTCGCGATCTTTCGCGTGTTGGCAGCGATTCTGCACCTCGGCAACCTCGCCTTTGGTATGTCCTGCAGTTTTTAAATGCAACACTCATGCTGGGCTGCAGACGACGTGCCGAACGCCCAGGGCGTGGCCGAAGGCGTGCGCGTCGCCGACAAGAACGCGCTCCACACGATCGCGTACCTTCTCTCGGTCCTTCCTTGCTTCTCGCCACTCCGGGGCTGAATCGAGCGATGTAGCTGGAGCCGCATGCGATCGAGCACGCGCTCTGCACCAAACGGTGTGTGGATGACTCGTACTAGTCGTGATAGTATGTTAGGCTCAACGTGGCCAAAGCGTCCGAGACGTACGAGCTCCACGTGCACCGACCCCACGCGATCAAGGCCCGCGACAGCTTGGCTCGGTAGGAGCCTTCTTTCTGAAGCACGTACTTGAGCGTTTGCGCAGGCTGCTCTACGACGGCCTCTTCCACGCCCTCGTTGCGCTTCTCAACCGATCGACGGCGCCTGGCACCGACGCCGTACGAGCGACCAACGAGGGGTCTTCTCATGTTGTGGCGTAGCCAAAGGAGCTATGCGACGTGACGCTTCTCGATGTCTTTGGGTTTGAAGACATGCAACTCAACTCGTTCGAGGTACTCGAGCGTTTTGTGGTCGAACGGCGATACTCAGTGAGGACTAGCAACTGTGCATCAACTACCTCACCGAGAAGCTGGCTGTGCTGCACGTGCAGTTTGCGAGCGAGGCGCAGTGCGCGCTGTACTTTGCCGAAGGCCTGGATGCGCTCTGGCCGACACACCACGGCAGCCTCCTCGTGCACGAAGGCCCGGGCATGCAGATCATGGAAAGCGCAGTCGGTGTCTGGGCCTGCCTCGAGGAAGCCACGCTGCTCCACGGCAACGAGCAAGACGCCAAGCAAGCCAAAAACAGGTCTGGAAATCTCTGTTCCTTCGACTCTGACGAGTGGTCGTAGCCGCTTTGTACGCGCGCTCTACCTGCGCAACGCCCAGCACGAAGGACTGCGCATCGAGCACGATCCGCTGCAGTTTACTGTGCTCCACCACCGCAGCGCCGTCACCTACACGTACTTTTCTCCAGATTTGCTCCAAGTTTTCGATCGGTCGTTGCAGGGCGACCAACTTTGTGGCCAAAAACAGCGACGCGCTCTCGGGCGAGCTGCAAGCGCTCGTGCCAACGTCGTCCAACGCATTTGTCAAGGTACGTCGAATGCAGCAAGCCCGCATTCGACCCAAGATCGTAGGCGCTGCGGACGCACAATATGAGTGCGTCGAAGCGACAGTTGCCCAGCCTGTCGAGCACGTACCGAGCCCACGTGGCGGCGACGCTGGCGCAGCTGCGCCAGACCAAACCTCGCTTTGTGCATTGCTTCCGCGCGCGCTTGCCGTCGTCGGCGGTCTGAGTTTGTGATGACGGAAGCGGGACTAAGCTTGCGTGGATAGGACTACTTTGCACTGGACGAGCAGCTGCTCGAGGCGCAGGTCCAGGGCCACATGCTCGCGCAAGTCGCGACGTGGGCGAGCTTGCTCTATCGGCACCACACGCTTCTCGGTGTCTTTCACCAGCGCTACCGCGTGCTGTTTCCAGGTCACTGATTGGATCGTACGTTGATACATCGATACGAAACGCCATGCTAGATGCGATCGAGTCGCTCCAGCATCAAGTCGAGGCGTTTGCCCACGAAGCGCTGCCTCACGAGTACGCTCCTCTTTCGTTTTGTATCAATGTATCAAGTGCGCCTAGGGCCCGAGACAGCAGCTTTGCGATCGGCGCGACCATGATCTTCTACTCGGATGCGCTGCACCTCGCGTTGCACCGAGAGCGCGACCGGCTTCGTGCCGACGCCTGCCTCCGTATCCAATCGGTGCGCGTCGCCAACTGCGCCGGAAGCGATGAATGCGTCTAGACTGTGCGCATGTGGCGGGCCAAGGTGCGCGTGCGAGCGATGCGCCAGTCGCTGCGGTGCGCCCCGTCTCTCGTATCGCGGAGTCCAACAGGTTCAATAGGCAATACCTCGAGGCGATCACCGCGTTCTACGCCAAGTACAACCCCGCCAAGCTGCCGCAAGGTTGGCTTTCACAAGTTATAGTTCAATGCAAACACTGTGACTAGTGCCGACCATTGTCCGCGCCTTTCGTGGACGCGAGGCCGACCTCCTGGCCAAGCTCGAGCGCAAGTACGCGCACGGAGGTCTCTCGACCGAGCACGAGGTGCACGACACGTCGCTCGAAGCGTTCATCCTGAGCGTCCAGTTCGATGCGGCGACGGTGCAAAAGGTTGCGTGACATTAGCCCCGCCCGCTGAGGTTCGTTTGTCTGTAGATGCTTCTGGAGCCCAAGATGGCGCTCTTCTTGTCCGAGCCGAGCATTCTCCAGGCTCTGCGCGAAGGTTCGAAGCATCGGGCGACCGAGGATGACGATATCGTGATGTAGTGAGCTTGGACCCGTCGGTGATCTACCTTCAGACGTCCGAGCCCGTGCTGCGCCTCTTCTACACGGAGCTGCGCAAGTATCTCATGCCCGCGCCCGACCCGACGCGCGTCATCTACCAGCGCTTACCCCTTCAAGAGGCGGTAGATGCGCAAGCGACTTGGTCGATGTCTCATTGTCCGCCGCAGGTCACGTTGCTGGCGCAGAACCGGCTCATGGTGCCGACGCCAACCATGTCTGAGGACCAGAGCCGCGTCATTCGAGAGGTACACTTCTCGTACTGTGAAGTGTCTCAACGAAGCGTTAATGTCTAGTTGGCTGCCGACCCGCAGCTGCTGCCTTTTCACATCGACGAGCCAGGGGTCGCGGACCTTCTCCGTGGGTTTATCGTGTACGAGCGCACGGAGCATGTTCGTCCAACTGCATTTGCCCTGTAGAGCTATTGACGGAGACATTTCGGATGTTCCGGAGGCGCCAGAGCTGCTGCAAGTCTCTACTCCGATCGCCGAGGGTGCTACGCCCGACGTTGCGGTCGCTACACCCGTTGTCGAGGCCCATGTGGGAGCAGCGCCGCTCGAGCCACAAACGAGTAGCCTTCCGTCGCAACGCTTCCAAGACCTCCCGCTACAAGAGGCGGTGTGTCCTCGCTTGCTCTCGATTTTACCTGCTACGCTACTGTAGGTGGAACGACTTGCGAGCGCGCACTTGCTGTGCCCGACCGTGTCCATGACGCCAGCCGAACAGGCCATCGTTCTTGAAGTCCAGTGACTATGTTTTCGCAGGGTACTCACACGCAGTGTAGATTGCGCAAGACCCGTCGATGCTTGCGTTTCACGAAGACGACGCGGCCGTCTGCGAGCTTCTCCGCAGCATCTGCAGGTGCCACGTCTTCACGGAGAACTGCAATCGATGCGAGGTTAGACTGGTCGATGACGTCATTGCGTCGGCTGCCCAGCCCTTGCGCGTCGAGTCAACGCCGTTGGAAGCACCCATGAGCAGCACTGCAGCGACGCCAACTACCGAGAGCCCGCCAGGGATCGAGCCAACGACTGCAGGCGTGACAGAGCCAACGACTGTAGTAGCGGCCGAGACGAACGATGCTGCGCCGGTACGCTTGGGACCTGCAGCGCTCGTCCGAGGCATCCGTAGGTTGTGGAGCTCAAGCGCATCAAGTTTACGCAAAAACTCATGAAACGAGTCATGAACGACGACGGTGCTGCGCTAGTTGGCTGCAACCGATGTCGCAACGTCGATTGTAGAACTCATGGGCCTCATGGCCGAGCCCGTTGTGACCGAGTTCTTTGAGGAGGTACGCCCCTCCGTGCATCTCTGTCCTCACCCGGTGCAGTTTTCCGAGGACACGTCCAAGACGCCAACGATCTCATTCGCAGCGCACGAGACGGCGACCATCGCCTTTTACAAGCGCCTCCTCCAAGTCAGCGGTGTCCAATTTTGAGCCGACAGTCACATTTTGTCAATGATCCGAGTATCCTTCCGCGTCTGAGAAGAGACATCAACTAAGCTCAGAGAGCTAACTAAGAGGGGGTCGCTCAGAGAGGGTCCATGAGAGCGATGACTGTCGTGTGATGTGGTGGGTAGCGGCACCCGCCGTCTGGATGTCGATGGACGCAGAATGGATGAAGGAACGGCACTTTGCCGGACACCAGCTGCTCGACACCAGTCCGGGCCGCAGCATAAGCTCTTATTGTTACTGTACGTGTGCTATTGAAGAGGAGGCGCCAGGCAATTGCGAGTCTTGCCATTGGGCTGCGTCCGTCGAGGAGGGCTCTTCGGTCGGCTTCGCTCGTGGGCTTTGTTGAATCTTGGCGGTGAGGCGCTCACTTTAGCGTGCCGGGTGCAACCAGCTGGCTAGCTTCCATGGGTCGTCAGGGGCACGCATCCGTTACTACTTCGATTTTGAGAATTAAAATAGCCTTGTGTTTGTATGTGATTTATAAAATCGAAGTCGTGTGGCGCCAAATCACCTTGTGACAGACTCCAATTGGGGTCCATTTTCGTGCTTTTGGCCGCCGCATTCGGAGATTCGTACACTTGTGGCCGCATGAAGCACGCATAACGTACGGGGCGCCAGCTTGCCGCCGACCATCGAGACGGGATGCGCGGCGAAGCGGCGACCAGACGTCTGTCCTGGATGGCGTGGGTGCCAGTCAGCCAAGTTCAAGTGCGAACTTCGATGCTAGGATTTGATTCGCTGAAACAATGAAGGCGTCGGATTGGCTGAAAAGAACCAATCCCTCTCGCTGAAAAGAAAGTTCAAGCGCGTCTGCGCTGCTGATTGGCCAAAATGTTCTGACACGCACGTGCACGTGGGGGGATCTTGGGGACGAAGAGGGCGGTCCTCACAAGCCGATTTGCCATGCTTCGCGCCGCTGCCTCCCGAGTCCACCAGCGCGCGGCCGCCGTTTCGCGCCGCTCGTTCGCCTCCGCGACCTCCGTCGAGGGTCTCGCCCTCCGCTCGATGGTCGGTGCATTCCGCAAGCACGGCCACCTCGAAGCCTCGCTCGACCCGCTCCACCTCGAGAAGCCCAAGCCCTTGCCCGAGCTCGCGTCGGCGGCGTTCGCGCCGGTCCTCAACCTCGGCGCCGTCGACGCTAGCAGCGAAGTGTTCTTCAGCGACGCCGCCAACACGACGCCGGAGGCGCTCTACGCGCAGCTACGCTCGACGTACTGCGGTCCCATTGGCATTGAGATGGAGCACCTGCGGTCGACCGAGGAGCGCGAGTGGCTCGCCAAGGCGATGGAGTCCCCGTCGCTCAAGGTCACGCCGGCCATGCAGCGCAACGCGTTCACGGCCATGATGACGGCCGAGGTGTTTGAGAACTTTTTGGCCAAGAAGTTTTCGTCGTTCAAGCGCTACTCGGGCGAGGGCGCCGAGAGCATGCTGGCCGCGATCCAGACGATCCTCTCGACGGCGTCGGCCGAAGAGGTCTCGGACGTCATCATCGGCATGCCCCACCGCGGCCGCCTCGCGCTCCTTGTCGGCCTCCTCGAGTACCCCGTGCACAAGCTCTTGTACAAGATCCAAGGCCACTCGGAGTTTCCCGACCACATCCACGGCGTCGACGACGTGACGTCGCACATTGCCCAGAGCATGGACTACGGCATTGGCAACAAGGTGCACGTGAGCCTCCTCCACAACCCATCGCACCTCGAGATCATCAACCCCGTCGCGACGGGCAAGGCCCGCGCCAAGAACGACGCCGGGGCCAAGGCCATGGCGCTCCTCCTCCACGGTGACGCGGCCTTCTCTGGTCAGGGCTGTGTGCCGGAAGGCCTCTCGCTGAGTCAGCTGCCGTCGTTCAAGACAGATGGCTCGGTGCACATCGTCGTCAACAACCAGGTCGGGTTCACGACCACCAAGCGCGACGGGCGCTCGTCGACGTACTGCACGGACGTGGCCAAGGGCTTTGAGATCCCAGTGATCCACGTCAACGGCGAGTCCGTCTCGGACGTGCTCCAGGCCGCGCACATCGCGACGCAGTTCCGCAACAAGTTCAAGAAGGACATCGTCATCGACCTCTGGACGTTCCGCCGCCACGGCCACAACGAAGTCGACGAGCCGCGCTTCACGCAGCCGGGCATGTACGGCGCCATCACGGCCAAGGGCAGCTTCCCGACTGTCTACGGCCAGCAGCTCGTGGAGCAGAAGGTCCTCACGCCCGAGGCGATCGAGAAGCTCAAAACGAAGCTGACGGCGCACCTCGAGGCCGAGCTCGCCAAGACTGCCAGCTACAAGCCGACAGACGTGGACGCGTTCAAGGGCAAGTGGGCGACGATGCACCAGCCGACGCCGGCCGAGCAGCGCGCGTCGGTCGACACGGGCGTTGCCGTCGACACGCTCAAGCAATTGGCGCTCGCGTCCGTGGACGTGCCGGCCTCGATCAAGGTGCACGACCGCCTCGAGCGCACGCACATCCAGGCGCGCAAGAAGCTCCTCGCGCAAGAGAACGTCAAGGTCGACTGGTCGACGGCCGAGGCGATGGCCTTTGGCTCGCTCCTCAAGGACGGCCACTCGGTGCGCCTCGCCGGCCAGGACTGCCGTCGCGCGACGTTCAGCCACCGCCACGCCGCGTTCACGGACCAGGGCAGCGAAGACATGTACTTCCCGTTCCAGCACCTCCCGGAGGCGCTCAACCCGACCAAGTCGCGCTTCAGCGTCGTCAACAGCAACCTCTCGGAGCTCGCGGTTCTCGGGTACGAGTACGGCTACTCGTGGGAGGACCCGAAGAACCTCTGCATCTGGGAAGCGCAGTTTGGTGACTTCTTCAACGGCGCCCAGATCGTCATCGACCAGTTCATTGCGTCCGGCGAGTCCAAGTGGATGCGCCAGTCGGGTCTCGTGATGCTGCTGCCGCACGGCTACGACGGCGCCGGCCCGGACCACTCGAGCGGCAAGCCCGAGCGCTTCCTCCAGCTCGTCGACACGCAGGCGCTCGAGTCGACGTTGCGCGACTCGCTGAGCGCGTACGAGACCGACATCAACATGTCGGTGGTCAACCTCACGACGCCCGCCAACTACTTCCACCTGCTCCGCCGCCAGCAGCTCCGCGACTTCCGCAAGCCGGTGGTTGTCATGGCGCCCAAGACGCTCCTGCGTCTCGCCGAAGCCACGTCGAGCCTCGATGAGATGGCGCCGGGCACCTCGTTCCAGCCCGTGATTGGCGACGATCTCCCCAAGGCGGACGTCAAGCGCGTGCTCTTCGTCTCGGGCAAGCTCTACTACGACCTCGTCAAGCAGCGCGCCGCGCACGGCCGCCATGACACGGCCATCATCCGCGTCGAGGAGCTCGCGCCCTTCCCGTTCGCGCAGGTCCAGGAGCAGCTCGCTAGCTACGAGAACGTGACGGACGTGACGTGGATCCAGGAGGAGCCTGTGAACCAAGGCGCGTGGCTCTACGTGCGCCCGCACTTTGAGAAGGTCGGCGTCAAGGACCTCAAGTTCATCGGCCGCGACGCCCTCCCGACGTCGGCCGTCGGTCTCTCCAAGCGCAACGCCAAGGAGGCGGCCGAGATCATGCGCGAGGCGTGGTCGGCGTAAATTTCGTTTCTGTTTGTTGTCGTAGAGTTGTACAACAAGACAAGATTAGAGTCCGCTCGTGTTTTGCGTTTAGTGAAGAGACTCCTAGGAGCTAGCAGGCGTGGCCAAAGCGCCATGGCAGTCGACACTTCCAGCAGAAGGCGTGCGAACACTTGATGCACTCCATGTAGTGGCAGCCACCCGACCGCTGAATGTAGCGGTGGCAGCTAGGGCACGTCTGGACGTTGTGCGCGCGGCAGTAGGCCTCGAAGCGGCGGTCCTGGCACGTCGGCAGGCAATGGTACGCCTTCCCGCACTTGAGACACGCGGGGCGGAGGCAGCGAGAGCAGAAGGCGCGCCGCTGAAAGAACCACTTGCTCCGGTTCATCTCAAGGTACAGTGTGCCGTCGCAACCGCGTCGCGGGCAGCTCGCGGTGTGGTGTGGCGCAAGCCGCTTGCACAAGGTCGCGTACAGCCCTGGAGACAAGAGCTCTCGCAGCACATGCTTGGTGAGTGGCCGCGCACAGCCGACGCACGCCAGGCTCTCGAACGTCGTGTTGCGCGACTCGGCTTTACGCTGGAGGTACAGTCGAAGGCACGGGGCGCAACAGAGCGTTGTGCAGTCGCCGCAGTGGCTCATGCCGGCGGTGACGGCGACCGAGTCCCAGCAGATAGCGCAGCGCGACGTAGCTTGTATCGGCGGTGGCGTCGTCGGTCGGTGGGCGACGGCCAGCAGCAGCAGACCAAGCACCGAGAAGGTGAGTAGGAGAAATGACATTTCGCCAAGAGGCAAATCACCGAATGACGATCTTGGCGGGACAGTACAATATCTGAGACACGCCAAGGAAGGTCCACAGAACAGGAGGTACTCGCGAGGGTATCGTTATCGAGCAGGACCGCGAGATCCATAGCGTCTAGTGGCTCCTTCGTCTGGCGGGTGCAACAGACAACATGACCACATTGGGAAATTGCCCATTCTTGCACAATGAAACGAGGCATTCGCCTAGAAACGCGTCTGCAATGCGGGCATGTCCACCTCGTCGGTCCGTCCACGGCCATCTGTGTTGATGTTGAAGATACCACCGACGAGTACAGTGTATGAGGACTGAGGCACCCAAGTGCTCAAGTTATGTATTTTAGTATTTTAGTAGATGTCGACTGCATAGAACTGGTGTTTCTCAGCCTTCAAACATGGAGCAGCAGTCGCCCGAGTCGTCCGAGTCGTAGTTGTTGTACACGTCTTCGTGCCCAGCAGCGTCGATCGCAATGTCGACGCACGTGTTGGCGTTGGGGTCCCACTCGATGGTCTCCATCTCGATGGTCTCGGTGCCGACGCAGTCCGCGGTCTTGAGGTTGGCGATCGCGTCGCGGTGTC